GTACCTCCGCTTGTTGGACTCGTATCGCGACCATCGCCATAAAAATGGATGTACAATTTGGGAACTTTGAGCTGTTTTATTGCTGTGATCAGTCCAAACAAATGCTCGATATGCGAATGCACACCTCCGTCGCTTACCTGCAAAAACCTCAGAACAACTGTTCCCAGTGGCAGTAGTACAACAGTACAATCCAGAGCCCCCGTTGGGAGGAATAGTAGAGTAAAAGGAAAAAAAGACACTTTATGATGCAGTCCCTGTGTTTCATCCCTTAGCTGTAAGCACAGAAAAATAATTATTACCAGGCCACAAAGATGAAGACGGCCATTTCCTTTTACGGCCCGCTCGGTGGCCTGCTTCAGATTTTTGTTCTCCACAAGCGTCTTATTCTTCACCGACAAATTTATACGCACAATATCCTGGAATATTTTTGCAATATTTCAAAAAAAAAAAAAATTTGCACATTCTGTAACAGCTTATTCTGACTGATTACCTGGTAAACCACTCGGCCAGCGCCAATGTTCAAATGACCCACTTCAGAGTTCCCCATCAGTCCTTCCGGCAGGCCAACGTGTAATCCGTGCGCCTCAATTGGATGCGAGTTCATCGCACACAGCTCATCCATCACCGGTGTTTTGGCATTCAAAATCGCATTACCTACAAAAATTAGCAAGCTTTGTTAACTGAACATTCCAGTACTGTGGATATGTGGGTGTGCGTGTGTACGCGTGTATGTGCGTATGTATGTATGTATGTATGTATGTATGTATGTATGTTTGTATGTATGTATGTATGTACGTATGTATGTATGTATGTATGCGTGTATGTATGCGTATGTCTTGATTGAGAAAACCACCGCAGCAGTTGGACGCTTTCTTCATATACATTACATTTGACAAATTTTCTCCCTGGCAAAATCGATTGGTAAATTGGGAAATTTTTTACAAACTACTTATTCGTTTCATATTTCACAGACTGTTTTTCCTGCTCTGGACGGGTACGGACAATGAGAGTAGCCAGACTTATGGGCCAAAACATTTCTATTCAGGTTTTTAATCCGATTTATCTAATTCACCTTCTTTTTATTCCTTTCTTTCTAACCCTTACTTTTTACATAAACACAAATCATCTAAAATTAAAATTACAATTATAGTACACTGCCTAATAGCAACTACCTGCTTGCCAGACAACAGACGACTTCCACAATCAAAAGTTACTGGTTTCAGCTAACTTTACTATTACTTTAAGCAGAAAAGTATATTGAAATAAGAAGGAGAATCGAAGAGAAAATTCCAAAATAAGAATTGAGAAATTAGTAAAATTTGTGAAATTATTTCAGTAAAAATTATTGAATGTTTTGATCCGTTAAGTCGTCATAATCGATCGTTTGTGAAATTATTTCAATAAAAATTATTGAATGTTTTGGTCCATTAAGTTGTTATAATCTATCGTAATGAGTATAAATTGTCATAATCTATTCTAATGAGAGTGGATGATCAATTTACCACCGAAACAAATCCTAGCAAAATTCGATTTTTGCACCGACGAAGCATGGCATATATCGATCGAAACACAGGATGATACTACTTTATCCGACTGCAATAGCTTTGATCCTTCGACGGAACATACATAGGGGAGAACTCGCGCGGATCTGTGGTCGTCACGCAGGCGCTAAGCGGGAAAATGCGCGAATTAGAAGAGGCACACGGCTCACCTTTACTTTCGGCGCTGATACCCCAACCGTCGATGACCACCAGGCATACCCGATTCTTCACTTTCCCGTTATTCGCCATTTGCGGCAGCAACAGACAGAGAGATTCTGCAAAATTTACGAAAAACGTTATTGTTTAATTTACGCGGTAACTATTAAATTATTAGTAATAAGCAGAATTTAAGAAAGAAACGCTGAATAGAAATATTTCGGTTCACTGAGTCGTATACAATAATTATAAGCGAATCCAGTACAGACTCCTAGGGGCGGGGGTGAGCAACGGCGAGCAAGAAGAAGAGTGCGCTCTCACCGTGGAACCATGCAAAAACTAGGAATAATGCGCTCCCACCGACTCTGCCGTCTGTGTTTACAGTTTAGGGATGAAACACAGACCGGACAATAGCTAATGCACATACAGGCTCGCTTATCTGAGTATCTGAATTAGCACTCACTGTTTTCCCACAAATGACAATATTCGACTTTGTCCCTTGCATCGGCTGGCCTACAGTGCCAAACAAACTTTCATAGTTCACATTTTTCAAAATTTTTCAAAAAATTTCCAAAACACTTGTAATGCACTGTTACTCAAAGTTACTTTAGACCTTAGTTTTAGCTTTAGACCCGGACTTTTGCAG